CAGTTTGTGATAATACATTCGCTGAGACCCTCCATCAGAGAGAGAACACATTAAAACACACCTTTGCTCTCTTATCATTAATTCAACCCAGCTGGTCTGTGACAAGTTCAGTTGACATTGCAGCTCATATTTCATTCACACAGGCTTAAAGAGCGAACACCTGCCAGGAGCACTTAATACCTCGTGAGGAAAAATAAAGAAAGGAAGAAAAAAAAAAAACACAGGCATCCACGCATCTTAACGTGACAATCAGGGTGGGATTAATACTTGATAATTAACCTCAACAACTGAAGATAAAGAGCTTGTGAGGAAATTCTTACATTCAAATGTTGTAACAAAAGAAATTAGTGTGAATTTGAATGTGAAAGCAGACGGCAGATCTTAGGATGCCATAACCCTCGTTACAAACGAACTGAGCCTCATTCAGGCAGACTCTTGTCTGGTAGTCTGGAAAATAACAAATGAGATAATACCTGGAAGTCTGATGGAGCTAAGGCAGCCTATAGCTCTTCTGCTAGCCATTATGCATAACACCCCATAGTCGATAATGCATTCATCATCTGTTATATATTCAAAACGTCACACTCAAGCCAGTTTGATGGTGGCTAATATTGCACGCATCATTGAGGAACATGGGAAAAAAACTAATCAAAGATCATTTATTCCAGGTGCTGGAACAGGTCATATGAATTTGAGGAGCATTTTAAATATACCATAATTGAGCCTTTCTGTTCAAACAAATTGCAGATGTAGTTGTCGCAGTACAGGTGTAAGGCCCATATACATATATCCACCCAGCCAATAATGAAATAGATCAGTTATACACAGGTTTTAATGTAAATGAAGGCACAACAGACACAGCAGGGCTAATTTGCTTGTGATCCAGAAATTATTCACTAGCAGCAGCAGCAGAGATGTGTATCTTCCTGGGCTGTATTGATAATATCGGTGCAACCTGAGTATGGCTATTAAATGTCTAATGTGCTTTGGAACTTAGATGCTATGACAGTGGGGGCATTAACAGAGAGAGGCAGAGAGAGAAAGGCCCTGCCAAGTGTATCAGAGCATCAGAGAAAAGAGCTCTCTGAAAGGTATCAAGTTTGCCCTGGAGGGGCTTCAGACCACAACACAATAAGCACCTCCCCAAAGAAAAACGTATGAATTGAAAATGGCCTCTTTACAAAATTAGTAGAGTACTGTCAATTATGTCTTTCAGGCTTTGAGAGTCAACAGAGGAGAGAAAAACCTTTAAAAAAAAGTCCCTGCCTGATTAAAAAGTTAACTTCCATCAGCTCTTCTTCCTCCTGCTGATGGTTTGCACCTTTAGGGATCAGGTTGCCAAAAATCTATATTTTTTCTTATTGATCATACTAATAAGTAAGTCTGCAAATGACAGTCACTTTTATTATTGATTAATCTGCTTATTATTTTCATGATTAATTGATTAATTATTTGTTCTGTCAGAAAATAGTTTTAAAAAAGCAATTTCTCAAGACCCATGTTGACTTGTTGTTGCCCGACTACTCGATTCAGCTCTAACAAGAATTCCCTGTGCAGCCACAGCCTTACTGTGTCACAGGCCTGCACTGTCCACTGTGCTGCTTTACTAACTAAAAAAACAAGTGTGTATTAATCTGCAATGAAAAAAATCTCCCCCAAAAAATCCATTCTTTTCTCCTAGTACGTTTTGTAACATTTGCCATACCACGATGTTTTAGGAATTTACTGAGCTCTTTTCTTTCTTTCTTTCTTTCTGTTTTTCTTTTGGAAATGAAACTATGTGTTTGTGACCAGTCTGTGGTGGAAAAACATACCCAGAGTACCACAGTGCAGAAATAATTTGTCATAAGTCATGGCTGATTTTGGTCTTTTCATTAACTTTGTTGACAATAAGAAGAGGATATAATAAATCACCAGTCTTTTTC